CTGTTTATCCATCGACCAAGTTACAGCATGGGTAGTATCGACCCCTAACGTTTTCCCTTCCTACTCCCCTCTCCACAATGCATTTCCGCCTGGAGTTGGAAGGACTGCTTCTTGGGGCTTACGTGGTAGGGCATTCTCTACACTCCATTCATTCTCCCCAAGCTCAATTTCTTTAGGGTGCCTGTTGTGGAAAATTTTGTGATAAAGGCCTATTGAGTGGGAACTGGATTGGGACAACCAATTTACATCACATAAACTGAGGATCTATCAGATAGCAGTAATCTTTGGTCATCACTAAACTGGGGAGATTTCAAACCGGCAGCCTAAAGCTGAAAGTCTCAGTACTTAATTCCTAGGGATATGATGATTCCCTATATTGGAAGTGATTTACATATGTATCTGACGGTCTTGTTAGACCTGTATTTGTATAAACTTTGCTGAAAAGAAAGGATATTTAGATGAATGCCAGTATAAAGCAGCAACCATTTTAAATATGTTGGATCCTTTCCATCCATTCCCTTTTCTCCCACCATACCTCTTAACTCTTTCCACTAATCCACAAATATGACAAAAACACACATTTACACAGAAGTACATATGTACATTCTTCAGTACCTTTGTAGTTTTGTTTTCCTTCTCCCGTTCCAATCCCTTAGGATAAGGCAGCTTGAGTTACTCAGTTTGTGCTTTTATTTATATTTATATTAAAAAAGTGAAAAAATAAGTGGCTACTGCTCCATCAGTGTTTCCTCCAATATACAAGGAAATAATTTAATTAAATACAAATTGTAAAAACTTCCCCCCAGCTTCTAAAAGTATAGATAGTACAAAGGTACATGCTTTACTTGTAATTATTCTTACCCCCTTGCCATGGGATGATACAGTCTTCTGTCAGGCTTTGAATAGTCCCTTTGTACAGCTGCCGCATAAGTGGTAGCTTAAATGATGAGAGATGGTTGGGTAAGCACACCTTCCTTAGTGGGACGTGGACTAAAGGGATCCTTGCCATCAGGATTGTTGCATCCTGATATGAGGAAAATTAAATTCACATAAAACACAGTAAATACACCTCTACCCCGATATAAGGTGACCCGATATAACATGAATTCGGATATAACGTGGTAAAGCAGTGCTCCGGGGGGGCAGGGCTGCGCTCTCTGGTGGATCAAAGCAAGTTCGATATAACGCGGTAAGATTTTTTTGGCTCCCGAGGACAGCGTTATATCGAGGTAGAGGTGTACTAAGCAGTTGAAGCAAGTCAAAACTTTATCTGTAGTTTAACTTCTAAGGTTTAAATACTGGAAACATGTGTAACTATTCACCTGAGTAAAATTACCTTTGTATAAGTGTTTGCAGGATTGGTGGCTAAGGGACCTACCATTCCCACCACTCCAGCCTTTTCTTTCAGTCCCGTCCATGTATTGTGGCCTCATCTAATCACATCCTGGATAAAGCACCAAACCACTCCACTTCATGTTTTAGTATGTTGTTTGCTTATTTATACAGTTTAACACCATGCTGTGCTTAAAGTTTCAGTCTACTACATAGTATATGCAATGGATAAAGCCTAAATGGAGCCTGAATCCACCAAAACCTTGGACTCTTCTGCCTAAGACCAGGAGTGAAATCCTGATCCCATTGAAATTCATGGCAAAACCCACCCA